GTTTGTGTTTGTGTGTGTATAACTGGGGATAAACCCTGGGCTTGCCTATGTAAGACTCTACCATTGAACTGTATACCCACACCATCCTTCAAAACATAGCTAAAACTATGTTTAAAAGCATGAATCTTATAAAATAGGTTTTCATACAGAAGGAACCACCTATGAGGGGTGACCTGCCTAAGTTTTAATCCCAGAGTGGGGAGCTTCTGAGCTCATGTACTCAGAAGGAAACAGTGTCCAAGAGATCCAGTTGTGATCACTTAGCCAGTGCTAGCTGAGGCTCCCCTTCCACCTGGGCAGTGGCCACCAGACTTGCCTCAGTTGTTAGGGTGTCCAAGCCACTTCAGTGTCTAAAGCACACCATCTTTTTCTGGGTCTCTTATGCTTTCACCCCACTTCAGAAGGTTACCCTGCAGTTTAAAGCATTCTGGTGTAGTTTGCTGCTTATCCCTGATGGTGGCAGCCTCTAGGAAGGACAAGGTCTTCATTAACAGCTGGTGCTGCAGGACAGGCTGGCAGCATGGTTGTCTTTTTCTGGATTCTTTTGTGGTGAAGTTGTGTGGCCAGCACACAACTTCGGTCAGTCAAAAGATGCAGGTGTCCAACCTCTCACAGACCTGTGTCCATCGCGAAAGTCCAGTGCCTGCCTTGTCCCTGGTTTCCCAGGGACTTTAGACACCCACAAAGTTCAGATGTCCTGCCTTTCAGCCAGCCTGTCACTGCCTAGTTCTTTGTCTCAAGTTTTCCACACTGCTGATGGACTGGCTACCTCCTCCAGGCCTTCTAGAGTAAGCCCCTCTCTTCTTCTTGCTACAGGATTCTTTACCAGAGAAACTGGCTGTGCATGAGAAGAATGTCCGAGAATTTGATGCCTTTGTTGAAACCCTGCAGTAAAAGTGTCCCAAGTATCCGCAGCACCCCCCTTCCTGTGGACCCAGCAAAGAACTTCCTCTTCCTCAGCAGCTCCCTGTCTTCCTGCTGTTTCTGGCCAGTGAAAAGCAGGGTGGTTTCCTATGGGACCTAGAAGCCCCTGCTCTTGGACCTCCTGGAAACTCGTGGCAGCAGTCAGAGCCAGTGCCAGACTTTGGGAGGGCTCTGGCTATAATAGAAGAACTCAGCAGGGACCATTCTCTGCTGCCTCACAAGGGGTGTCATCCTTTTCCTCCTGCTGCCAACCCCGGCCTGGTCTACTTGTCCTTACCACCAGCCACCTGACATTCCAGCTGGTGGCAGGGACACTGGGCAAGACCAAGTGGGGCGAAGGAGGGCTCTGTGTCATCAGTAGTTACTGGGCCACCCCACTCTCCCTTCCTTTCCCTCCTGTTCTTTTCCCTCCATCTTTCCTCATGACAGTCACAGAAAAGCTCTTTCCTTCTCACCCTCCCTCAATTGCTGCTGCTTGGATATTGGACATGGTGAATATTTATTACGTTCAGAGAAACCAGATATTTTATAGAAAAATATGTTTGGGTTAGCAGTGTCGCTGAGGAAGGCAGAAGGCCTCTTACTGGATGGAGGCCTCCTGTGAAGATTCCTCAGAACCTGTGCTGCTGCATCTAAAGAGAGATGAGAAATGGGGCTGGCAGGGGCAGAGTAACCCCTCAAGCTGTGTGTGTGGAGCTGCATTCCTTTGCACATGGTGTGCTCCTGCTCAGCATCTTCTTTTTGACAGAGCATCTGCAAAACGACTGGCTCTATTCTAGCAGCCCAGGAAATTTGGGTGTGTTTAATGTGATGACTCACTCAAGACATGTGGTACCCAAGGGAGCATTGTGTGTCTTGCTGTTTGAGTCCCTGAGACTAGAGCAGGAGTGGGGAGCTATTCCTCCCTCCAATTTCAGAGTCTGTATATGGCCCTGGGTTTACAAGCTGGATTGGTTCCTTTTTGAGTTTATGGTTGACTTAAACTTCCAGGTATTGTTGCTTGAGTAAGTCAAGTGCCTCTGCCAGCCTGCCCTGTTCCTCTGATTTCTGGATAGTCACTGGCAGCAGCTGTTACTCATTGGAGCAGGTGGCTCACAACTGCTTATTAGTAATCTGCATGTAATACTGGAGACTTTCATCTGTGCATGCTTCTGCTGCCACAGAGAAATGTGCCAGCAGTGGTGGCCAGATGGCACTGCAGCTTTTGGATCAGGCATATTCATGGCCTACTGAACCCGACTTGCCCCCACAGCCAGCACTGAGTAGGGGTGAGGGTATGGATTCTTGGCAGCTCAGCCAGTGGCCTTTGTGTCTCAGACCTATCAGGGTAGAGGCCAGGGAAGCTGAGCAGAGCATCCTTTTAGGTTGCCTGTGCTCTTCAGCCATGCACAGTAGGAACCAACTCCCTGCAGCCACACTCAGGCTGGGACCAGGTGGCTATAAGGCCCCTTCTCCAGTGCTTTGTTTGGAAATGAGAGCTACACTTGGAAATATAATCAAGAGGTTTCCAATAAAAGTTTTCTGTACTTTACAATTTCCTATTCTAAATGTTGTCTGGACAACTAGTCCGCCATTCCAAACTCTGTAGTACTGGGCCATCACCAGGCTCCATAAGAAGGGAAGGGTTGAGCCTGAATTTCAGGAACTCTGTCAGGGCTGCTTGAGTCTTGGGACTTGACCACCTTGCAGCCTTGGTTCCCTAGAGCCTTGTAGTGTTCCCCAGGACAGGGCCATGTGCTTGAATATTCAGTGACACAAAGTACATGAAGAACCCTTGTGAAATCTCTTTTAAGGTTGAGCTGTTATCACTAGCATTCTGTCCCCTCACATAACATACCTGCAGGACATAGAATACCCAGGGAGAAAGGCAGCAGCAGAGGATGTGACGAGGAATGGTGACTGATCTGTGAAAAGGGTTGTTGCTGAGAAATAAGGGAAGTGGAGGACGTCAAGTGGCCTGTCCAAGTTCTGCTACTTCATGTGACAGGCTCCCGCAAGGGCAGTGGGCTTTCAGAGGAGCTGCTTGCAGCCCAGCTTAACAGTCTTCAGATCTCACTACCTAGTAGTACACACTGCAGAGTTGAATGTGGAGCCAATGTACATAAAATTCTAGGTGCAAAAGTGAACTAGATAATCACTGCAAGTTCCCTGTACCTGCAGAGTCAAGTCAGGCCCAAGGACAAGAATGGGACTATCGGGAAAGTCGGAGTCAGCCCACCCTGCCAGGTGAAATTTTGTCATCTTAGTTGCAAGCCATTAATTAGATTGTAATAAAATGTACACTGCTGGATGGTGGTGGCGCGCACAGTTAATCCCAGCACTTGGGAGGCAGAGGTAAGCAGCTCCATGTGAGTTAAGAGGCCAGCCTGGTCTACAGAGCGAGTTCCAGGACAGCCAGGGCTATCCAGAGAAACCCTGTCTTGAACTCCCCTGACTCAACAAGTGTAATGGTACAAATTTATAATCGCTACACTCAAAAGGATCACAAGGTTGAAACCAGCTTGGGCTACAAAATGAGGCCACGTCTCAGAAGACAACCCACCTAAGATCTATCATCTTGGGTGTGGCAGGTGCATGCCTTTGATCCCAGCACTGAGAGGGAGAGGCAGGCAGATCTCTGAGTTCCAGAATTTAAAAAAAAGAAAACTTCTAGGTTTAGGAATGAGACTTCCATTCTTGCACTTCCACCACAGCTACCACCACAGCCTGAAAGTGACCATCCCAACCTTTAAAACCAAGCAAAGTCTACTCAAGAGAGGGAAGGAGAACAGAGTTCATATCTTGTGTGGCCAGGTGGTCGTGGAGAGAGTTTAGCCTCCCAGGTCAGGGTTGGGGAGGTAAAAGAAAGGAAATGAAAACTGAATCACAGCTGAGGCTAGGATAATCCTCTGGTCACTTTTACCACAGATACTATTTCTGGTCCTCAGGAACCAGTTTTTGATAGATATATATAGTCTCACATGGGACCAATCCTGAATCTCACCAATAAGAAGTAAGAAAATCAAGACTGAAGCTCTAGGGCAAGAGGATCTCTGGAGTTTGAGGCCAGCCTGGTCAACACTTCCAGGATAACCAGGGCCACATAGTAAGACCCCATCAGAAACACCAAACAAAAAAGAATGTGACTGTAAAAGCCACCCCAATCCAACACTATTCACTTCAGTTCTCTCCTTTTCAGTCAGCTGGGAGAGAAAGCCCTGGTCCCACGGTAAAACACACGGTGAGCAGTTGGAATGCTACAGGTACAAAACGGATGGCGACCTGGTACTTCTCTGCGTAAATGATCTGAAAGCAGGCCTTGGGCCTACTCAGAATAAGAAAGGGGAATACAGAATATCACGGAGTGCTGTCTTCCAGGCATAATATAGCTCTTTTCTTTTTAAAAAATCCTGATATGTGTGGATGCATGTGTAGAACGTGTAGAGCCCACAGAGGCCAGTAGGCAGATTAGAGATGCTGAGTGCCTGCTGGAAGAGGACCAGGTGCTCTTACCTGCTCTCTCGAGCTCCCAGCCCTTATTCATGAGAGCAGCTGTTGCCACATGCATGAGATTGTCAACACAATAGAACCTTAGGCGGCTCCATTGGTGAAGTATTTCCTGAGTCTGTCCTCGCACCTACATAAAAGGGGGAAGGCAAAAACAATTCACACAATGAAAAGACGAGGGCTGGGCCTCTTTTGAAAGGAAGTAGGTAGGGTCATTAGATCTTCACTGGGAAAGCTACACTTGCTCACTCTCCACTACATATAATTCTGTCCAAGTTGCATGTGATATTGGAAGGCACTAGACTTAAATATATAGGAGTTGAAGATTGACTGGAGGAGGGACCCCAACTATCCAGTCCCCTGCTGGGCGAGTCCTCCGTGATAGAGCTGCTTGGGTCCCCATGCTCACAAAAGTTTGCCACTGGACTGGGATCAGAATCATTTTTCTTTAGACTTTCATTGTTCACATTTCCCCAAGAAAAACATGACAGACAAAATTAAGATGGACTAGGGAGGGGACTTCCCAAAGCCCTCTCTCTCAGTCATACCACACTTCCCACATGGTTCCCAACTTCCTAGACAGCCAGATGGGCATTTCCATTTTCATTTTTATTGAAATACAAAAAGTGCAGATGGTGAAATACATGATTGGGGCCAAGAAAATCACGGTAAATGTGAACACTGGATTCACAGTAAGAGCGCCCCCAGCTACACACTGACAGGGCAGGTGCAGGGCTAGAGAGGTCCCAAAGGCTCCTCAATAAATGGAGTGCAGCAACACTTGATACAAAAAGGTGGGTGAAAATCGAGTGGCCCAGGTTGGGCCAGGATTGACAGAAGCAGCACTTCAGGCACCAGAGACCTGATACACAGTGGCGTCGCTTGCAAGATGCTCAGTGCAGGTCCCACGATAGCCAGTGCCATCTCTGGAGCTGTCATGCCTGGCCGCACCAGCCCATCACTAGGGGCAGACTTCTGGAAGGGGGTCACAAGTTTTCACTAGGCGTGGAATGAAAGCGGTCAGTCATCACTGGGGCTCAGGGTTTATGAGAGACAACGGCCCTGTAGCCACCACACTCCCTCAATCTTCCTGGTGGGGTGATTTATTAGTAAAACCCCTGCCCCTCTTAGTGGCTTCTGAGCTCCTTGCCCTCCAAGAGTACCCAGGCAGGAAGTAAGAGGCACCAGGGATCCTGGAGCACTGGGCCTCTGGTCGCGACATGGACCACTGGCTGGGGACCTGTACACATGAGAGGATGGAGGGGCAGGACTATGCTGCTGACACACCTGACACTGGGCTCCCCAGGAGTGGCGAGGACCATTTCAACAGGTGTTCAGAGGCTCAGTCTTGTTATCCAAGATGCCAGGTGTGGCAGAAATGGGGGACTGGTACACACTGGGAGCAGTACCACTTGGGGAGGAACAGACCCAGGAGGCAGAAGTGACAAGCCAACTCTGGTCTTGTCATCCCTACTAGTAGGAAGGGCAGCAGAGGGAACTTGTACCCAGGCCAACACTCACTTCTAAAAAGCACAGCAACTGACCAGAAAGGGAGGTACCCAGGAGAGCCAGCTCAAGCCAAGGGCTCAGCTGTCCCATTTCCTAACAAGCAGAAAAGAGAGGACCAGCCCCCATACCACCACAGCCGGCAGTGATTTAGTCTTCTACAGTTGCCAGGGAAACAGGCAGGAAAAAGAAAAGGGTTACTGAGGTTCGGTCCCAGAGGCGCCAAGCCCAGTTCTGGAAAGCCCAGCAACCAAAGAGGCAGTGAGAGGTATAAGGCAAAGAAAATGTCTTACGATAACAGAGGCCTCGAGGGCTGGTGAGGTGGGCGGACAGAGGGAGAGGAGGGGCTGCCCAGTTAGTGAGCTCCAACTTCCATCTTCTAGGGCTTCGGGGCCCCTTCCTAGGCAGGAACCCTGGACTCCAATACGGTTAATAGCAGGAGGACAAGTCCAGCTGGGGCTGCCAGAGAAGGGGCTGGTGGGGCTGTGCTCAGACCGCCTGGGCGTCTGTGCTGGGGAACAGCTCCCCTTGATGATCCAGGAGGAACTTAGTGAAGGTGTTGATGGGATTAATGGCCTTGAGGGTGATAGCAGCATCCTTGGCCCACAGCAGATTAGGGCCAAAGACCACAGCCAGGTTAGTGTTGGTCATCTTGTTCTGGTCACAATGGGCAGATATCTGTGGAAGGAAATGGGGCTACAATTAGAATCTAGGGCCCTGCCTCTTACTCCCAGCAACCACATCCAAGCATCCAAGCAGTGACCCCCCACACACACCAGGTGAGCAGCAGGGCCAGGGCTCACCTGTACCAGGAAGGCAGTCAGGAAACGGAGCACCCGGTAGTTCTCCTCTGGCAGTGTGTGGAGAGCCTGCTGTGTGGCCTCCACTCTCTGGCTTTCATCAATGTCTGTGAAGAGTGCAGCTCCACATTACAGGGCCCAGGGCTAGCTCGGGAAACCCTGGTATGAGGCTAGTGGGGAACCCAACGGGACTTCTGAGAGCTGCTTATGCCCACGAGCCTGCAGAGGATGGTGGGTATGGCCATATACACTCCCCTGAGCTCAGTTCCAGCTCTGGCAGAGGATTTGGATAGCTGGGGAGGAAAGAGAGAACTCACTGAGGAAGCCCACAACGTGGGGGTAGAGGTCAAAGGTCAGCAAGGGCTCAGGAAGCTCCCGAAGAAAGGTCTTGAGGATGACTGCCGGCAAGTGCAGCTCGTTGTACTGGTCAAAGTCCACTGGCAGCCCTGCATGCAGGAAGAAAGGATGAGAGAACACCAGGCCAATCCAGAGGCCAGCAAGCCCCTTTTACTTGTCCTTTTGTCTGCTGCACAAGCTGCCTTTTCCCAGGACCCCCTATTGCATCTGCCTCTTCGCTTCCTTTTTTCTGTTGTTTTGTTTTTTGTTGTTTTTTTCTTCTTCTTTTTTCCTTTTTTTGTTTGTTTGTTTGTTTGTTTGTTTTTCGAGCCAAGGTTTCTCTGTGTAGCCTTGGAGCCTGCCCTGGAACTTGCGCAGTAGACCAGGCTGGCCTGACTGCCTCTGCCTCCTGGGTGCTGGGATTTAAGGTGTGCGCCACCACTGCCCAGTTCTTCTCTTCCTCTTAACAAGGGTACACAGACTCAGACCATCTGCAGTGTGTGAGGACACTAGCAAACAAAAATTATTCCTTGCCTCTTTGCCTCTAAATGACCTTGTACCCAAGGCTGCAGCTCCTGAAAGTGAGGCAGCAGAATCAGGACCTTTTGCCACACCAAAGGATATGGAAATTCTGGCAAGAAGAGAATCTGGGACCTTGCTTACAGCCCATCACAGTTACAACACGTCCCATTCTCTCTCTCTCTGTCTCTCCCCCACCTCCCCTTGCTTACAGCCCATCACAGCTACAACATGTCCCATTCTCTCTCTCGACTCACTGTGCACACGCTGGGGACAAGCTCTAGGGTCTGACCCACTTACCCATGTTGTATTTCTGCTGCACTTCCCGTACAACCTGGGTGTTGGCCGACCTCCGGAAGATGCCCTCTGTGGTGAGAGCTGGGGAACAAGGGGCTGGTGAGTCTCCGAGCTCTAGGTGATAGATCACTTCCTTGCCCGATCACTCTTGGAATTCAAAGAAGGGTCATTGGGAGTGTACTTTTCTATGCTCTGCTCAGAGTTTCTCAAGGGCAGCCAGGGAAGAGAGTGGCTGGAAGGTCACTAGGCCCAGGGCTCCACAGCACTCACCATGAGCCTGCAAGTAGGCAACTGTCTCCCTGAGCACAATGGGAATGGGCTCCTGGGCTGGGTTTTTCTCCTGGAGGCTGTGGGAGCAAAAGGGTGAGCTGGGACTCTGCATGCTGGTTCAGTCCCCATCAGCCCCAGACCTGCCTAACTTCAGCATACTCACTGCTGCAATGAGACCCCAAACTGCTGATTTGGCAGCGGGGGGCGTGGTGGCATGGGCTTGGGAGCTGTTGCAGGACTCTTTTGGGTGGATTTGAGGAAGTCATCATACCTGGGAGAGTAGATGGAACAAGGGTCAGGCCCTCTGGCTCTGTAGTCTTGTAGCCAACTCTATCAAGCATTTACTGTATGATTTTTCTTTTCTTTTCCTTACCTTTCCTCCCCCCCCCCCCGAGGGGGGGGTGGGTGGGGTGCGTTCTTTTTCTGGGGCATGGTTTCTCTGTGTAACAGTCCTGGCTGTCCCAGAACTAGCTCTTGTAGACCAGCTGGCTTCAAAGTCACTGAGATCCGCCTGCCTCTGCCTCCCGAGTGCTGGGATTAAAGGTGTGCGCCACCACCGCCCAGCACTACTGTGTGATTTTCCACGGATTATTTCATATATCCTCAAAACAGCTCCACTGATGTGGGATTCCTCTCTGTATGCTATGAATATACTTTAGTGCTATTGGTTGATGAATAAAGCTGTTTCAGCCAATGGCTTAGCAGAGCAAAGCCAGGCAGACAATTTAAACAGAGAGAGAGAGTAGGTGGAGTTAAGGAGACGTCAAATAACTACTGAAGGAGACAGTCTCTGGAACTTTACCACAGCCTCGTGGCGATACACAGATTAATAGAAATGGATTAATTTAAGATATAAAAGTTAGCCAGGAATATGCCTAAGCCATTAGCCTAAACAGCTTTATTCATCAACCAATAAAGCAACACATATACAGAAGGACCTCCCACATCACCCCACTTAATGTAACACACTTTAAAGAAATTCAGTCAAAGGCTTGTGAGAGAAATGGGGCTTGATTTGGCTCTATCTACTTTCTCTGGATCTTGACACTGCCTTCCTCACTTCCCTAGCTTCTCCAAGACCCCCACCTAGGTTCCTCTGCCTCCCACACAACTGAGCAGTGGGTCCCCACGCGAGCACACACACCCACACCCTGCTGTCTCACTTGAGCACTTGGCGAGGGATCCCCAGCTGCTCCAGCTTCACATGCTCACTCAGCTCGCTCAGGTAATTCACATAGAAGATCTTCCGTCCAAACTTGAAACTGGAGGCAATGGGAAGGATCTGGGTCAGGTTGGACCCATCGTGGGTCTTTGCTTTTCCCTGCAGACAGGCACCTGGTCTGCATCACCCCAAGCTGGCCACCCTGGGCATCTGCTTGATGTGTGAGGGGTGCACACCTGTGGCCTGCTCACCTGATGAGGGGCTTGAAGAGGATAAGCAAGGTTTTGATAAACATGGTTGGGTGCACGATATACAGGGCTTTGATGTTTTTCTTGTACCTGCAGGACAAGTGGAAAACTTAGGAATGGGTGGCGTGAGGGGCAGGGTTGTTAGGGACCCTGCCTGTACTAACACGGAATAAGCTCCTGACCAGAACAACCCAGAACCCAGACAACTGTCAGTGCAGAGCCACCCACACTAGGCTCTGGAGCCCACTCCCACGTCCCAACCCACTTGCGATCAAATTCCCGGTAGGCATCCCGTAGCCAGCTGAGGGAGGGCTTGTTGTCACTGGTCAGGCCGTGGTGCAGGTACAGCAGTGTGTAGTCACTCTCCACATACTGGTCCAGTGTGTGTTTCAAGTACCTTCAAGAGAAGTGCCAGGGCTGGGAGTGTATCTCCGTGGTAGAGTAATTACCTAGCATGTGTAAGCCACAGGTTCAACTCCCAACATCATACACACATAAAAAGTCCTGTTCAGATCTGTCCTCTGCACAAGTGTGGTCCCTATTACAACAGAAAACAGTACTTGCATCACGGCTTCCTTCCCCACAGACCCTTCCTGCTGTCATTTGGCTGTGTAACCCAAGTTTCTTTCCTGGAAGAAGGCAGAGGGTTGGAACTGTAAGTATGCAAACACCACTCATTTTGACAGCAAAATCGGTAGACCTGAGGTCCAAGCTGGGCTGTGTGTTCCACAGTTAAAAGGGCTTGATATACTTTTCTCATTGGTTATTGGTAAAAGCTTTAATGTCTGCCAAACACTTCCAATACATTACAACTGAAGCTCAAGTCAACTTTGTTTTACTAATGAGGGCAATCAGCAGAGGCCAGGTGCTTGGCCAAGGTTTCAGTTTGTGGCACAGCGGTGAAGTGTCCAATGCCAAGACTGCATTCTAGACCTTGGAGCACTTCTGCCTCCTACAGAATCTGTGATCTATGGTACAGTCTATAAAACATTGTGTCCATGGAAGGACGTCAGGACGGCCAGAAGGTCAACTGTTTCAATTCGTAGGCTTTTGATGGACCACAAAGCCATACACACACACGCTGAACACACTGGAAATTTGGAAGTAATAAACAATAGGGAGCTGGAGAGACTGCTCAGCAGTTAAGAGCACTGGCTGCTCTTCCAGAGGTCCTGAGTTTAATTCATGAGCAACTACATGGTGGCTCACAACCATCTGCAATGAAAGCTGGTGCCCTCTTCTGGCCTGCAGCCATACATGCAGGCAGACCATTGTGTACTTAACAAATAAACAAAAAAACAAATAAATAAACAAATCTTTAGCTGGGCGAGAGTGGCACATGCCTTTAATCTCAGCACTAGGGAGGCAGAGGAAGGTGGATCTCTGTGAGTTCAAGGTCAGCCTGGTCTATAGAGTGAGTTCCAGGAGGTTCCAAGGAAACAGTGAGAAACCCTGTCTCTAAATAAATAAATAAATAAATAAATAAATAAATAAATAAATAAATAAATGAGAGGGTAGAGCCCAGGGTCAGACCTCTTAGAAAATGGACAATCAGTCCCTTGGCAACCACACTTAGCTGCAAAATGACATCTTAGTACCACAGTCCTTTGTAAACACAAAGTGCTCAGTGTGGTAAGGGCTAAATTATTCTCAGTTTCATAATGATAAGAATCGGGCTGGAAGTCAGGCAGTGGTGGTGCACATTTTAATCCCAGCACTTGGGAGGCAGAAGCAGGCAGATCTCTGAGTTAGAAGCCAGCCTGGGCTACAGAGCGAGTTCCAGGACAAGCTCCAAACCTACAGAGAAACCCTGTCTCGAAAACCATAAAAAAAAAAAAAATCCTGGGATACCTATAAACAGACCACCTCACAGGGTGCTTCTGCGGACAGGACTCATCTGTGAAGTCAGGCGTCAGAACAGTGGTCATGCTTGAGGCAGACACTGGAAAAGCAAACTGGAAACCTGAGGCGGGCAGGGGCAGTGATAAGTATGGAGTTTCTGTTTTGCTTTGTTTTTAGGTTTTTGAGACAAGGTCCTACTCTGTAGCTCAAAATAATCCTTCATAAGCCCCCCAAGTGCTGGAATTGCGGACATGCATCATCAAATTCACCAGAAACTGGGTGCAGATATGTAGTCCCAGATACTCGAGAAGCGGAGGCAAATAGGTCACGTAAGCCTAGGTGTTTACGGTCAGCTTGGCCAACAAAATGAGAGCTGGCTTAAAAGAAAAAAAAATTAGTACACAATTGGTTTACTTTTCTATATGCATATTATATGTAAATAACATGGTTTTTGAGGGTTTTCTTGGGGGTAGGTGGGAGGGTTTCACTGTATAACCCAGTCTGGCCTGGAACCAGGCTGACCTGGAACTTGCTGAGATCAACCTATCTCTGCTTTCCAAGTGCTGGACCTAAAGCACACACTACTATGCCCAGCTAAATAATATGGTTTTGGGTGTGTGTGTGGTTTTTTTGTTTGTTTGTTTGTTTGTTTTTGAGACAGGGATTCTCTGTAACCCTGGCTGTCCTAGAACTTACTCAGTAGACTGGGCTGGCCTCGAACTCAGAGGTCTGCCTACCTCTGCCTCCCAAGTGCTGGGATTAAAGGCGTGTGCCGCCACTGTCTGAGCTTTAAAAAAAAAAAAAAGGCATCAAAGGATGTCTTTGAGGAATGTTTTATACCCAGAAGATGAAAGAATCATCCAAAACATCAAATTGAATATAGAGTTCCAAATGAAGAAGAAAATACAAAGTGGATGCAGCAACACACAATGGCTTGCTTTCTGGGTGACAGGTCTGCGAGACCTTATTGTTTTATAGGGTTGCTTTTTTTCTGCATAACAACTTACATATTTTTAACCTCTCAAAATTGTAATACTCTAAAAATATATATGATGAAATTTCATTATTACCCACAAGAACTCTGTGAGGACACAGAGAACTCAGAGTTTATATAGACTTCAGTGAGTTTATATAGGCCTCCAAGCACACAGCTAGTTAAAATTCAGAGCTCAAATTTAACTGGTCTTCTTATTCCAAGCTTCAAGCATTTTTCCATTTCAACCCCCTAGATCTGGGTGGGGAGTGGGAAAAAGCCAAGTCTGATGTAATCTGACTGAAAACAGGACAGACAGAACTAGTGGAAACACGAGTCTGGTCTCAGAAGGGACTGTGACCAAATAGGGTGTGTGTGTGTGTGTGTGTGTAGTGTGTGCGCTCATGCCTGGCTCCTGCCTGCAGATCTGGATGCAGCTCTCAACTACTTCTCCACCACAGCACCATGACTGCCTGTGTGTAGCCATGCTTCCTACCATGACGAAAACAAAAACTAAAACTGTAAGCAAGTCCCTAATTAAATGCCTTCTTCTATAAAAGCTGCCTGGTCATGGAGTCTTTTCACAGCTACACAACAGTGACTTAGACAAGCAGCCTTTGGATTTGTGCTAGGAGAGAGTTCATACACATTTGGTAGCAGAAGCCCCACAGGTACAGAAACCATTGATACCAAACTTGGTACAAAGTAAGACAGTGTTATTTTTGATTATAAATAGAAATGATTAAAAATCATGGTTCTGAAGAGATGGCTCAGATGTTAAGAGCACTGGCTGGCTCTTCTTTCAGAGGACTGGGTTCAATTCCCAGCACTCACAGGGCAGCTCACAGCTGTAACTCCAGTTCTAGGGAATCTGACACCCTCATCTCAATGCATATAAAATAAAATTGAATAAATTATTTTTAAAAAGAATCATGATTATACATAGCAGTGGTGGTGCATACCTTTAATTCAGCACTTAGGAGACAGAGACAGGTGGATTTTTAAGTTCAAGGCCAACCTGGTCTACAGAGTTAGTTCCAGGATGGTCAGGGCTACACAGAGAAACCTGTCTCAAAAAACTAAAAAGAGAGAGAGAGAGAGAGAGAGAATCACGACTATATCAGAAATACTGTCCATATTTGGAAAGTATTTACTTTTCAAGATTATTTTCTGGTGTGCCATCTCACTCCTGTCAGGAAAGAGGCCACATGCCTCACTATCATCTTTGAAAATTGAGAAAATAAAGCTCTAAGACACTTGCCAAGGTCACAGTCTCTAGGACCAGAAATTAGGTCTGACTGCTTGTCTAGTGTTCTTCCCCACCTGACTCTCTAGGGATACTCACCCCAAGAGCTTGCTGTGGTCCAGCTGATGGCTGGGGGGCATCCGACAGGCACTGAAGACAATGATCTTTCGCCCGTATTTATCATCACCTAAGTGTGGAGAAAGATGGAGCACAGCTGGTGAAAAAGTGAACCATACCAACCTGGGGCCTGTGCCAGTGATTGCAGGGCTTGGCTGACTCATGTCCATTACTCAAGGGCATGCTGGGTACAGTTACTTCAGGTGCACTAAATTGGGACACCCCTCCCCCAAATTTTAACCTTGCTCTTTAACCCAGTCATGGTGACACTTGTAAACCCACACTTTGGAGATAGAGTCAGGAGGATCAGGCTTTCAAATTTTAATAGGTTCAAGGCCAGCATGGGCTACATGACATAGTCTCAAAAAAATAAAAAGAAAACAAAACAGTAGTAATAAAATCACTTTTATGATAGATACAGTGTTGAGTGCCTTTAAATCTAGCACTTGAGAGGCAGAAGCGAAGACAGAAAAACTGTGAGTCTGAACCAGCCTGGTCTACCAAGCAAGTTCCAAGATAGCAAGGTGTAGTGAGACCCTTTCTTTGTAAGTAAAACTCACCTTGAAAAGGTAATGTCTATGGAGACAACATACATTCACCAGTAGATAAATGTATGGGAATGTAACTCAGTTGACAGCGTGCCTGCTCAGGTTAGCATACAGGAAGCCCTGGGTTTGATCCCTAGGACCACATAGACCAAAGGGGACAGCTACATCTGTTGTCCCAGTTCTCAGAGATAGGAAGACCAGAAGTTCAAAGTCATCCTTACCTACACTTAAATAAATCTGAGGCTAGCCTGAGATACAAGATAATCTGTGTCAGGAAAAATAAAGTATATTCATGCAATAAAAGTATGATGACAGAAAGGAAGAAAGTACTGATATATGGCACAAAATATATATGAACCTTGAAAATCGGTTAAGTGAGAGCAGCCTGGAACAAAGAGCAGCTACTATATGATTTTGTGAGAGTCTAAGACAGTGCTACTCAACTGTGGGCCACAACCCCTTGGGATCAAATGACCTTTCCCCAGGAGTCACAAATCAGACATCCTGCTTACCAGATATTTATATTACAATTAATAACAATAGCAAAAAAAATCACAATTATGAGGTAGCAATAAAATCATTTTATGGTTGGGGTGTCACCACATGAAAAACTATATTAGGTCCGTGGTCTAAGACCACAAGTCCACAGAGTTGGGAAGCAAATGAGAAGGCTTCCAGACGCTGGGAGGAGGGGAGAGAGGGAAATACTGATAAACCGCGGCAGGAGCTCTTCTGCTCCCACAGCCAACAGCCTTTAAGACACCAGCCCACTTGGGCGTGGTCTCTTTTGCTTTAAAAAGCAGCGGTAGCCCTGCTCTTGATTCCAGCTCCCCCTTCCGGCTACTAGACTCTGTTCCTGTTCACTCCAAGGGCTATTGTCTAGGACAGTGATATGTAAGTTTTCCCCTTAAATAACTGACCCTTTTATTAATCGTAATTCCAAACTGCTGTGGGATTGTTTTGTGACTTACGCCTTCATCTGGTTTTAGAACCCCCAGCTCTACTGCCCACCGCCAGCTCTGAGTGCACCTGGCTAGGCCCTCCCTCAGCCAGGCAGGCCTGTGCGTGGAGCCTGCAGTTCATTTGGATATAGAATTCTCACAAAGCAGTGGTTTTTCTTGCTGCAGATCGGGCCTGGTTCTTTATATTATCTCATTACTCACCTCAGGGTGGCTTCCAGTCCTCCCACCACCACACACTGTGCGGAAATTCAGACGGGATACAGGCTTTCTTGGGTGTCTGCTGTTATCTTGTTATCCCTGTGCTCCTGTGGCTGCTGACCGATCAGGGCCCACCGCAGTACATACAGTTTGTGATTTCTATTAATAACTATTTTTTGATCTAAGGATATCTTTTAGCATTTCACACTAAAACAAGATTCATACCAGTCACGTGACTCCAACTACATCGCTGGTCTCAGCTGGATTAGTTTTGTAGGTGGCCTGCGACACCTACTGGCAGGTTACAGTTATTGAACCTAATCCAGCTAATTAAACCACAGGTAAGATTTAATATCTTAAATATAGATCATAAGTTGCTAATTTAAAAGGGCAATATGTTAGACAATCTAACTGTGCAAGGTTTCAATGGCCTCTTTACTCACAGCATGTGTGAGGTATTACAAGACTTTTATGATGCCCTTTCTACATCATTAATCTTAATTCTGGGGATTAGTTTTGTCCTCAATATTTTTTCCTTAAAAAAATGGTTTGACAATAGAGCTAAGAATGAGGCATTTTTAGAAATGGTGCAGTCTTTACAGATTGAAACCACGTTTCTCAAGAGAGAGTTTGGAAATCTGAAGAATACGACTTCATTTAACGGAAGATTAAGCACTCCGGAGAAGGAAACAGATGATTTGTCACATAAAACCCAATTAATGACACTGGGTGTGGAAATATTATTTGAGAGAATTTGCACTGTTGAATGTGTTAATCAAACTCTGTCAAAGGAGCATGACAGATTGACTGATAGAACATCTCTACAGGAAGGTAATATGCATGCTATAAAGATTATATCCAAGGATGAGACATTATCTCTACTGGACAGACTTCATACCAACTGCCCTACCTTTAAAATGGTTAACTGAAAAACCAATATGGGTTAAGCAGTGGCCTCTAGCTGAGGAAAAGTTGCAGGCTTTAGAACAGCTGGTACAAGAGCAACTAGATGCTCGACACATAGACGAATCTACTAGCCCTTGGAATTCTCCTGTATTTATTGTTAAAATGAAATCTGAAAAATAGAGAATGGTGACAGATCTAAGTGCTATCAACAAGCTTATTCAACCTATGGGCCCTCTACAATCTGGAATTCCTCTGCCTTCTCTGTTACCAAAGGGATGGCCTCTCATAGTTATTGATTTAAAGGATTGTTTCTTCACTATACCATTACAAAAAAAGGAAAGAGAAAAGTTTGCCTTCACAGTCCCTACTTATGATAATTCTCAGCCTACTAGAAGATATCAATGGACTAGTCTCCCACAGGGAATGCTCAATAGCCCAACCCTGTGCCAATACTTTGTCAGCCAGCCATTGGAAATAATACGTAAGCAATTTCCTAGGTCTGTAACCTACCATTACATGGATGACATTTTGTTATTCGATTAAAATATGGATACTTTAGAAAGGATGTTTAAAGAAGTAAAGAAAGTCTTGCCTAAATGGGGATTACAAATTGCTCCTGAAAAGATTCAAAGAAGAGATTCTGTTAATTACCTAGGTTACAGAATAGGTTTACAGAAAATTAGAACACAAAAGGTACAAATTCAGAGAGACCGGTTACGGACTCTTAATGACTTTCAAAGATTATTAGGAGACATTTTCAGTCTACGACTGGCTGTTGGGATAACACCTGATCTAATAATTAACTTAAACAAAACCTTAAATGGTAATAAAGACTTGAAGAGTCCCAGAGAATTAACAACTGAAGCAGAAAAGGAATTGAGGATTGTTGAGGAGAAATTACAGGAGGCACATGTAGATAGGGTGAATCCAAATCTTAACTGTATTCTAGTCATATTGCCTTCCAGAATTTCTCCTACAGGAATTTTAATGCAGAGGGACGATATTATCTTAAAATGGATCTTTTTACCACATAAACCAAGTAAAAAATTAAAAACTTATCTGGAAAGTCTCTGAATTAATTATAAAAGGTAAATTTGCCAACTAGCAGGTGTAGACCCAGTAGAGATTATAGTTGCTTTTACTGCTGATGAAATAAAAACGTTATGGGAAGACAATGAACTCTGGCAAAAGGCCTGTGCTAATTTTTTGGGAGAAATTAATAGAAATTATCCCAAAAGTGAAAGACTTAACCTTATAAAGAGAACTTCTTGGATTCTTCCCCGAATTGTACGAGATGCACCAATAACAGAAGCCTGTACATTTTATACTGATGCAAATAAAACAGGGAAGGCAGGTTACAAATCAGAAGAATTAAGTAAGGTGGAACAAAGCCCTTATAATTCTGTTTAGAAGGCAGAGTTATATGCTATTCTTATGGTACTAAGGGATTTTAAAGAACCTCTCAATATAATTACTGATTTGCAATATGCAGAAAGAGGTATCTTGCATATTGAAACTGCTGAATTTATACCAGATGATACAGAATTGACTTCATTATTCATCCAGGTGCAAGACATAATCAGGAACAGGCTTTATCCTATATGAATAACACACATCCAATCCCATACGGGTCTGCCAGGTCCTCTAGCACAAGGTAATACAGAAACTAATCAACTATTGATTGGAAGTATGTTGCAGGCCTCTGAATTTCATAAAAAACATCATGTCAATAGCAAAAGTTTAAAGAAAGAGTTTTCTATTACATGGCAACAAGCTAAGGAGATTATAAAGAGGTGCCCTACTTGCTCTTTCTATAATCAAACACCGTTGCCTGCAGGGAGTAACCCAAAGGGCACTCAAAGGAATGAAATCTAGCAGATGGATGTGTTCCATTTTATGGAATTTGGTAAATTTAAATATGTGCACCACACCATAGACACATATTCAGGTTTTCAATGGGCAACTGCCTTGAGCTCAAAAAAGACTGATTTAGTAATCACACATTTATTAGACGTTATGCCCATCATGGGTATGCCTGCACAAATAAAGACAGACAATGGTCCAGCATATGTATATAAGAAAATGAAATGGTTTTTTGCTTATTATAATATAAAACACATTACAGGTATACCAAATAATCCTACAGTTCAGGCAGTTATAGAAATGTCAGATCATACTATAAAAGATATGCCGAACAAACAGAAAGCGACAGAAAATATCCCCAGAAATAGATTGCATAATGCTTTATTAACCTTGAATTTTCTTAACACTAATGAGAAATGAACAGCAGCAGTGAGGCATTGGATAATGGAAAAAACTTCTGAATTGAATCAACCAGTATATTTCAAGGATGTGTTGACCTCACTATGGAAACTATGAGATGTGCTACATTGGAGAAGGGGTTTCGCTCTTGTTTCCACAGGAGAAGAAAAACTATGGATACCATCAAAATTAAT